AGAAATACTCAAACCACAACGTCCGTTCTTATTGATTTCTTCGCCATTGTTTTATAACTATCGTTTCGCGGCAGGCAACAATAAAAGTTTATTACGTTTAGAAAGCAAGCTAAACTTTTATCTTTTGATGCTTCAGGATAAAATTTCAACCTGACATGTATAATATTCTGACCTTATTTCATTGGTGGTAATTAAATTATAATTGCTACTTTGATTACGATACCGTTATTTACAGTTGTGATAAAAGTAACAATTACAGTTTAATTACCGTTATTAATTCTTAATCAGATCAGTTTGCCTTGAAAATTTCAGTCTAAAAAACACCGTTTTAAATTATATTTAAAATCGTAATTTCTCGTGTGGTGTTAGTATCTTTTATTATAATTATACTATATTAAATTCCAAATATCTGATGCAATAATTAATGAGTTACTTCGAGGAGGAAATATTAATATAGTTTTCTGTTCTTTAAAGAAGAAGGCTTTAATTCTGTTTGTGGTGTCAAAGAATAAGTCTCAATTGTACTTTAATATTTCTATAAAAGTTCAAAGCGATAACAGAATCTACAATAATCTATCATTTCTAATGGACAAAGTAAAAACTACTGAAAATGTCCATAAAATCTAAATAAAAATGCATATTCGAATCTTTATTCGCTTTCGTATTCTGTACATTGTAAAGAAATAAAAGTATTCATTTTTACATTAATATTTTATTTATCCGTTATAAATAACAATCATAGCATACGTTTAGTTGCTTTTATCACGTACTATTTTACAATCAAATTATATTCACTTATAAACTATTCAACGTTTACTTAGAGTTTTTAACAAATATTATTTAATATTTATGTTTCGAAAATATGTAATTGTCGGTTGCAGAAAAATGAATTGAAACTCTAACCATCGTATCTATTTACTTCGTCGCAGACTGTTACCGATAAGAGATGCTTGAAAGAAGATCCAATCGTTCAAGTATTCTTTTCCATGCTTCAATTTCTATCGGTAATACGTAGGAACTCTCGGTTCAACCGGTTTAGGGTCCACCATCGTTGTACTTATCTGTTTCCGTAGAGTATCAAGGGAATTAGAAGAGAGGACCTATCCGTAGATATTCCTTCGCTACACGAGCTTGCACTGCTGCTTATACGAGAAGGGAAACTCGTTTATAGAGAAATGTCTTCCCTTGCATCAGCGTATTAGATTCGTTTCACTTGGTCAAGGATCGTCGACGGGAATAAACCGTTCGACCAAAGAAAAATCCTCGTGGCGGGATTGTCTATTTACTATGACACGACGAAAAGTGGAAGCAAACAGGACAAGTATACGCTTCGACTAAAGTCCCGGCAAAACTTTAGAAACGTGACTCCGTTTACTTTTCACTAACCTGAATCATGTTTACCCTTCGTTTGCTGGCTTTCATTGATATATCGAAGAAATGCCTGAACGTCAACGAATTTCTATTACTCTTTGCGCAACTAAACCAATTAAACGGATTCCTAACTTGTTATTTATTACTTAAGTCAGAATTGTTCACACTATACGTACATTTTCGCGTTGCAGTCATATGAATTATTAATGTATATGTGATGTTTTCGATGTTGCGATACAACTAAAAGAAAGCATCACAATTTGCACAAAGAAATGTCTGAAAAATATGGAATAACAATTTTTCATGGGAGATTTCGTTTTCTTTGTAGGTAATCAACTTTGAATA